AGCATGCTGCTTTCTAACCCCTTCCTGGGCCCTCACAACCGCTTAGATGGTAGATTGTCACAGAACAAAAGCAGGAGGCATTTTCTTTTCCATCTCAGTGGTCTCAAGGTCGTCTTCACCGTTCTGTATTAAGGATGGCTATTGTTGTTGGGAGCGCTGGTGGCGTAGTGCCTAAGGCACTTGACTGTTAACCAGAAGGCTGGTGGTTCAAACCTACCAGCCACTTGGAAGGTTGGACAATCTACTTCCTTAGTGATACTGCCTCAGAAACCCAAGGTGGGGTTGCTATGAGTTAGAGACGACTCGACAGTACATAACAAACAACGTTGTTGGGAGCTCTGGTGGCGTAGTGCTTAAGGCATTTGACTGCTAACCAGAACGCTGGAGGTTCAAACACACTAGCCACTCCTCAGAAGGAAGACTGGGCAATCTATTTCTGTAGAGATACCACCTCGGACACCCAAGGAGGGGTAACTATGAGTCAGGATTGACAGCAGCTTTGTTGTTGTTATTACGCTCCAACTCATAGCGACCCTGTGTACAACAGAACGAAAACACTGCCCAGTCCTGTGCCAGCCTCACAATACTTGCTATACCTGAGAGCTCACTGCTGTAGCCACTGTGTCAAACCATCTTGTCGAGGGCCTTCCCCTTTTTCACTGACTGTCTGCTTTACCAAGCATGGTATCCTTCTCCAGGGAATGATCCCTTCTCACAATGTGACTAGAGTATGAAGTCTGTGATGAGATGAAGTCTGGCTATTCTTGCTTCCAAGGACCATGCCGGGTGTCCTTCTTCCAGGACAGATTTGTTTTTCTAGCAGTCCAATGGTACCTTCCACATTCTTTGCCAGCACAACTCAAAAGCATCAACTCTTCTTCAGTCTGTCTTATTCACTGTCCAGCTCTCATATGCAGATGAAGTGACTGAAAATATCATGGCTTGGGTTAGGTGCACCTTGAGTCTTCAAGGAGACATCTTTGCTTTTCAGCACTTGAAGAGATCTTTAGCAGCAGTTTTGCCCATTGCAATACGTTGTTTGATGTCGACTGCTGCTTCCATTAGTGTTGATTGTGGAACCAAGTAAAATGAAATCTTTGACAACTTCATTCTTTCCTCCATTTATCATGATGAACGGCTACTGGGTTGACACTATACACTAAGGGTAGGTGACTCCCCTGAAGGGTAAGGTCGCTGCCAAAATGAAGTTATCTAGTGGCTCTAGCATGGGGTTGCAAGGGTTTGGAAAGGCCTCTGGGGCAGTATGGAATTAAAGATGGCTCCAGTTCTGCAAGGTAGGACAGGAACAGAGAGGGACCAAAGTTCACTCTCTCCTCTTTTTGGACAGAGTTTGGGGACCTAAAGGGAACTAGAGATGGTTGATTTTGGAACCTCTGTTTAGGCTGAGATCCATGGGACGTTATCCCTTCCTACAGTTACCCTTTGTGTATAGCAGTATTGCCTCAACTCTGTCACAAAGGAGTTCAAAGCAAAGGTGACAGGCACTGGTGACATGCTCTGGAACGAGCTGCAGGTGTAAGGAGTTTTGGTGGTGCAGTATTAAACGTCTGAAGTGGATTTCCTAAAATGGAGAATAACCCATTAACGAAGATCAAGGTGCTTTCATATTGTTTTCAGAAGGAAGTCCCCCTACAACATAAGTGATAGAAAGTGGGACTTTAAAATGAAGCCATAGGCAGGGAGGTCTGCAGAAATACAATCTCTCAAGGGTTCATACTTTGTCCAGAAGGTACTCTGGCCATTGAGATGAAGTTTTCCCAGAAAAGCCTCTAGTTGCTATACTCAGTGGGACAGAAATCACAGACAACCATCCAATTCACTCTACACCTTACCCCTCAAAAGCTGTCCCCAAGAAATTCTTCATTACAGTTGAATTTTCTTCAACAATGCTTAGCACTATCTGAAATACTCATTAACTATTGATGGTCTAAGGAGCTCTGGTGGTGCAGTGGTTAAGGCATTCAGGTACTAACCAAAAGATTGGCAGTTTGAACCCATCAGCCACTACGCAGAAGAAAGATGATGCAGTCTGCTTCCATGAAGATTTACAGCCTTGGAAACCCTGAAGGGCAGTTCTACTTGTCCCACAGGGTTGCTGTGAGTCAGAATTGATTTGGTAGCAGTGGGTTTGGTTTGTTATTTATGGCCTAGAGCCCTACCCCCACCCCATTAGAATGTTAAGCGGCCTAGGGACCTTGCTTATTTTATGCACAATGACTTCACTGGATACATGATTTAAAGCCTGGCACACATCAGGCCCTCAAATGTTTATTGAACAAATGGTCTCACAGAATGAGCTACAAGGAACTGCAGACATCTTGCTCTAAGACCATTTACAAAATAACCTTCTCAATCTGTGCTTCTCCAGGGATGGGCACCAGCATCCTCTGGGAACTTGTCACAAAGGCAAATTATCAGGACTCACTCCACACCTACTGAATCAGAAGCTATGAGAATAACGTCCAGCAACATGTCTGTTAACAAGCCTACAGTGATCCTGGTCCATAATTAAGTTGGAAAACTATGGTTCTCAATCTCCTCTGATGGAATTACTCAACAGCAAGAACCTGAGGTATCTCTGGAGAACTGGTTTGAGTATACATTCTACTATGTTCAAAAAATAATTTCACACTCAAGTGTTATCAACCAGTTTTTACTTAGTTTAGATCTATGATTAACCTCCTTTCTCTTCCTTAGAAAGAGTGGAAGAATCCCGTGAGACCAGCTACCTCTAGCCTGCTTTACTATAGCATTAGCAGGCTGGAAGGCAAAGCTCAACCGGCACACTTCTATGAGGAGCTGGGTGGGCAATTCATCTCCTAACAGACACCAAATTGGCTTCTTTTGCCTTATTGGGTTCATAAGCATCTTGAAGGCAATGGCTTTTTTCTGTTTTCTGCACAAGGTATGTGCTCCTCAAGCATTATTGTCTAGAATATGTCAAGGTTTACGGAATCTTCTGTCTCCCAACTTGGGGCTGTCTGACTTGGATTCTGAGAGAGTTACCAAGATTCTCCAGCTTACCAAGTAAACCTAATTCCTCCCATGGAGGTGCAAGAATTACCCACTTTTCCTGAATGGCTTCAACTCATCCTATTTCATGCTGACCAAGGAAATAAACAGTGTGCAAGGCTTTACTCAACCCTTGTTTTCCTTAAAACATCATAAACGTAGTCCTGGGTCAATAAATTTTAATTACTGACCAAAACCAGGTGGGCTAAATATGTAGGTTCTTCATGGGACACAGGAAGAAACTGGTGTATGAATGCAGAGAACAGGACTGGAATTCAGAAATGGTGTTCCATTTATTCATTCAAAAAGGAGATCAGCCTTCCTGATCTATTTCTTTCATGTCCCAAAATCCCTTCTCCTCATTTTTCCAAAATAACAACACACAGGGAACACACATTTGTACAAAAACCACATATAATTCCCCCCCTCCTCACAAAATCGGGTGGCTCTCTCTCAGGCATGAAACTAGATCACAGACATGAAAAGAAAAGTCATCACTTATACTGAAACAAAGTGTTGAGAATTAAGAAATTCTGTAGAATTATTACCAGCATAATAAAAATATTTCCACCTGGATCTTTTAAATTTGAAAGTGATCACATTAAAAACCTGAGGTTACAAGGGACCACAGTATGAACCAGAATTCCATTTTCCTTCTAGGACCCCAGGGGAAAAGGAAAGTATTTGGAATGAGTTTCCTTTGGGAAAGACTGGCAGGAAGTAGGGAAAACCCTGGCCATTCTCAAAAGGCACTGGGGCCTCTCTGGAGGCAAATGTATTGAAACTAAACTCCAGTAGGAACCAGCTCATGTACACTCTGAGAGTCCAGAACAAACACTTAAAGGAACAAGGTCTCCTCAGTTCCAGTACTCTGATGATGACCAGGACCACATGGTTAGAGGCAACACCTGAGGGTTTGAAAGGCAAATCTCAACTGTGTTTTTTTTTGCTTTCTGATATTAAGGGAAAAAGTTCTAAGGTGTTTTAGAAACACCCCTTACACCTTCTCACATGTAAAGCTTTATAGAATATACAGAAAAGATATCCAAAGATGTTTCACCTTGCATTCTAAATAACAAAACCACCACTTGAGAAGGTGAAGTGAACAGGCCAGGTGCTTTGGAACCAAGCTCTACCAAAAACACCCTTTCCCCACCCATGGGAGAGGGAAGGAAGGAAGGATGAAGGGGAGAAAACCAGGAACTCTTAAGTCACTCAATGATACGGCTAGAAATGGGCTCAAATTAAGGCAGTTTGTGGTTCTTCCTCTGGAATGGCATCCCCTCCCAGCCTGAGCACCCCAAACGTCAAAGCATGATGCTGTGCCAAGTAAGCTTCTTGGTTCCCCTAGCATCTCCTTGACAACCCCGTGATAGATGGAATGTGAGATCTCAGAAAGGGAAAGGAGAAGTTACGAGAGGCTGCTGGTGCCGTCCCTCTTCTCCATTTCCATCCCAAACCTAAAGTACCGCTTCACTAAATTACACTCACCCTGGCTACTGCAAGAGGTAGTTTGGGGACTTGCACTCCCAGCCATCCTAACCACAAGTTCCATAAGCTAAAATGTATAGCACTATCTACTTTTTTTCTTTTCTTTTTAAGGGTTTTTGAAAGAAGGTGAAAAAACAATGCATAAAAAGCAGTGAATAATAGGCTAGATTCATTAGGTGGCCATTGCCCTAGACTCCTCAACCACTCTTGGCTAGCCTAAGGGACCAAGGCATACCTTCCCAGATTCCAACCCTCAAAGCTCACACTGTCCTCAGAAAAACAAAAGACCCACCCCCAGTCCAACAAATCATCTGCATAGAAAACCAGAACCAGGGGGCCTGGCGAAGGAGTGGATTTGTTCTAATGTAGGTGCTCTCCACTGCCACATATGATATTAAAGTAGTATGGTCTGCCAGGCAGGGTAGAGACCCTCACAAGGGAATGGAATCAGTGGGATCACTCTTCTGTGCGTCTAAGTGTGGCAAATGCCTTAGGAGACTTCACCGTCAAAACCATTCTTAGCTCAGATAAGCAGAAATAAGGTCACTTATAATGCCTTAAAGTTTGTCCCCTGTGGCTATGCCCCGCCCATCACCATTTTTTTGGTTCCTATTAACTTAGGATGCTCTCTTTTAAAACAATGACAACAGAGAGGGGAAAAAAAAAACATTAATGATAGTAAAAAGTATTATCATAAAAGGAAAAGACAAAGGAAAAACTGCAGAAGAGCTAAAATCATAAAGATATATAGCATACTAATATTGACAGGACCTACAGATAACCTGGCAACCTACCCCACATGAGGACAGGGGAGACACCAGCTACTTTTAGGATGACTAGGGCACACTGTCAGCACAGGTTTCTCTTTGAGAGCTGAGGACCTGATACAAGAGGTGTCAGAGCATGGAAGGGGTTCAAGGGAGAAGGAAAGGGGAGATGTGGGACACGTGCTTGGGGCTATGAGAAGAAAAAATCCTGAAGAAACCCAAGGGAGCTGAGGAGCACAAGTCTTGTCATCCGCACTCCAGCTGGTGGCACTGGGCATGGAAATTCCCTCCATCTTACAGGTTAGGGAGCAGCTGAGGCTGGAGGGCCTGGAGCAGGAGGCGGAGGGACCCCATCTGTGGGTGGTGGCAGCGGCGGCTGCTGTGGTGGAGGGGGATCTGCAAACACATCCAAGAGGAACTCGTCACTGCAGGACACTCCAGGGGCTAAGGAAAGAGCCCATTCAGAGACAAATGACATAGGAGGTAATTTCCTTTGTGGCAGGTAACCAATGCAGTCTGAGAGGCATTTTGCTACTGTGGTCTATGTAGGTCAGATCCAAACCTCCAGACTGCTGCTTGTGGTGCATACCCTAACCCTAGTGGCTGGGGGTAGGAAGTGTCTGACTCTGTCTCGCCTCTTTAAGACTCACCCCTTCCAGGAATCACTCCAGACATTTTCAGAACTTAATTACACAATTTTATTGTATTTCAAAGGTTCTCTGTGCTAATTTTATCCTTTCAGTTAAATATAAGCTCCTTCCTGGGCAAATTTTGTGTCTTCTTATTTTACTCTGTCCCACAGTGCCTACCATACATAGCTGGGCACACAATAGATTAACAGTCATTTCTTGATGATTAACTGTTTCTACCAGGGCAAGAGAGCTTCACTTGAGTCAGGTGCTGACAAATTGGACATTCCTGGGAGGCCCCAAGCCTCCTGAACTATAGTCCTTAGATTTTTGGCCAAAACTAGGTCAGGTCCTGGAGGGAACAATTAGTCTGAGTGTCTTGGGCTCTTTACCATCTCAGCTTTAGAAGCTTTAATATACAAAGGAACCCCAGAGGAGATGATGATGATGATGATGATGATGATGATTTTTAAAATAATCTTAATCTTTAAAAAAAAAAATAATAAAAAAAAAGTTTTTTTAAAACTTCTCTAGATTTTGTCAGAAATGAAAATATGTGAAACAAAGAAAGCGCAGTTGCTCACTGGTTAACTCCTTCAACCCCACACCCAGAAGGTTTCCACCAAACTCCTAAGACTTTTCAAAGCACTTTAAAGACTACTGATCTAATCTCTCACATGTCATCATCTTACAGTGGAGGAAACTGAGGCCTGAAGAGGGAACACAACTCACCCAAGATGGCCTGCCCAGTACTGTAAAGCCATGGGCGTAAGAAATTTGTTATTCTTGCCTTTATCCAGTTCCTATTCTTTATTCTCACTACTTTTGAACTCCGTATCCACAAAAGGCTCCGGCAGAGAAAATAACAACCAGTAGCTCTAAATGTCTAAGGAGATCAAACTGGACAGGCTGAAACGGCAATGGAAGAGAAATGTCTTTTGACCTCTCCACACCCTGGTGCTCAGGAAATGTCTGCTGTGATGGCTGTAGCACACAAGTGTGACTGAATGAGGTACTCAAACCTTTCCACCTGTGGACCTGCTCCTCTGGAATACTGATAAGCACTAACCAAAAACCAATCTTCTGGAACCCACTGTCACAGGTCACATTGTCCAAGGACCTCCCAAACCAGTGGAAGTTATTAGCGGCTAGGGTAGATGCAACGTTAAGTCAGGGAGAGGAAAAAAGACTTCCTCCATTGTCTAAAGCCCTCCCCTGACACTCTGGGTTAACACGTTGCCCCACTGTGCTACTTACACATGCCGTTAGGAGCCGTGAGGGGAACCCGTGGTCCTAAGATGTTTCCTGGTATTGGTGGCATACCAGGAGGTGTAGGACCACTCCCAGAGGGATGGATGTTAGCTGCAACAGTGGGAATCATGCGGCCTGGCATGGGCTGCCCAGGCATCATGGAACCTGGGCCTGGTATCTGACCTGTGGAGAAAGATTTAAAATACTGTAAGTAATCTGGCAAAGGGTATATATAAAAGGGAGCAAATGAATGCCCAAGACAATGCAATACAGACAAACATGCCCAACCCTACGAAAGATAATGGAATAATCTATAATAAACTATATGTCCAGGTTTTTTTTGGGGGGGTTGGTGGGGGGGCAGGGTATTAATGGGGATAGGTCTGTGGAATGATTGATTATTCCTGGTATAAATAGGTAGGCGTAAGAAGCAATGGCAAAAAAAGCCTCTCCAAAAGAAAGCATTCATTCTAGTTTGGCTGGGTGAGCAGTGGACTGTCAATGTCTTCCTGGGGAAACACAGTGCCAAGCACAGACCGAAGGGAACGGTGAGAAGGACTTTAACAGCAAGCTAGTCCATACTCCAAGGACCAAAGCTCCACAGGCAAGAGCTGAGCTTTCCACACAAGCTTTTTCTGGAAGGGTATTGATCACTTCTGAGAAATCACCCATAAAAAGGGATTATAATATGAATCTCCAAAACTTGTTCACAAAAACAAAACAAAACAAAACAACTCTCTCTCTATCCTCACCAGGAAGCACTGGCCTTGCAGAATCACCGGGGGGTAGTGGGGGAGAAGGAAGACAGACATCTTATCATTTCTTCATCCTACTGTTTAAAATTAATGACAGGAGACCCAAGGGGGAAAAAAAAAAAACCACAGGAAGATACTTCCTGTATTTGGTTTCACACTAAGCCTTTTTAACGGTTCACTAAACTTTTTCTGCAAAGAGTCAGATAGTAAATATTTTAGACTTTGAGAGCCATATGATCTCTGCTGCAAACTATTCAATTTTGCTGTTCTAGTGTGAAGGCAATCACAGACAATACATAAAAAAATGGGAATGACTGTGTTCCAATAAATTTTAATTTATGGACAATGAAATGTGAATTTCACCTCAGTTTTACATAACGTGGAAAATCATTCTTTCCACCTCCTCAAAGCCATTTAAATATGTAGAAAGCATTCGTAGCTCGTGTGCAGTTGTTGTTGTCAAGTCAGCTCCGACTCACAGCAACTGTATGCACAACAGAACAAAACACTGCCCGGTCCTGCACCACCCTCACAATGCTTGCTATATTCGAGCCCATCAGCCACTATGGCAATCCATCTTATTGAGTCTTCCCCTTTTTTGCTGACCTTCTGCTTTACCAAATATGATATCCTTCACCAGGGAACGGTCCCTTCGGCAACATGACCAAAATAGGTGAGATGAAGTCTGGCCATTTTCACTTCCAAGGAACATTCCAGTTGCACTTCTTTCAGGATACATTTGTTTGTTCTTCTGGCAGTTCATGATACTTTCAGTACTCTTCACCAACACTGTAATTCAAAGAGATCAACTCTTCTTTGGTCTTTGTTGTTCACTGTCCAGCTTTCACACGCACATGAGGTGAATGAAAATACAATGGCTTGGATTAGGTGCACCTTACTTTTCAAAGTGACATCTTTGTTCTTCAAAACTTTAAAGAAGTCTTTTGCAATAGATTTGCCTAGTGCAATACGACATCTGATTTCTTTCTTTCTTTCTTTTTAAGTTTTTATTGTGATTTGGGTGAGAGTTTACAGAACAGTATGGAATGCTTCACGAATCTGCGCGTCATCCTTGTGCAGGGGCCATGCTAATCTCTGCATCATTCCAATTTTAGTGTATGTGCTGCTGAAGCGAGCATGACATCTGACTTCTTGACTGCTGCTTCCATGGGTGTTGGTGCGGACCCAAGTAAAATAAAATATTTGATAACTTCAATCTTTCTCCATTTATCGTGATGCTGGTTACTGGTCCAGTTGTGAGGAGTTTTGTTTTATGTTGAGGTTTAATCCATACCGAAGGCTGTAGTCTTTGATCTTTATCAGTAAGTGCTTCAAGTCTTCTTCACTTTCAACAAGCAGGGTTATGTCATCTGCATATCTCAGACTGTTAGTGAGTCTTCCTCCAATCCTGATGCTGCATTTTTTTTTTAAGTTCTATTGTAATTTGGGTGGTAGTTTACAGAGCAAATTCATCTTCCATACAGCAGTTCACATATACTTTGTCTCATGACATTGATTGTAATCTCCCACTTCCTCCCTATAGCCACCTCTTCCCTGTGTCTAATCCTCTGATGCACTCCTGCCCCCTGAGCTGTCTCCCTGTGCATACAAAGTCCTTCTATTCTCCTAGGATTGATCTCTCCAAGGAGTGTATCTACCCAATGTAAACGTTCAGTTCATATGCCTGTCTTGTGTTTGGCTAGAAGCCATCGGAGTGGGTACCATTCCAGACCTGAAGGGCAGCTAGGGGCCATAGTCTCAGTGGTTCCACCAGGCTCTAGCAGACCAGCAAACCTGGTCCCCCCCTTTTTTTTCAAATGATTTTGAGTTGTGTTCCACATTGTTTTCCCACTCTATCCAGGATCTCCTACATAGATCCCCCTCCGAGGGGTTGACAGTGGTAGCTGGGCACCATCTAGTTCTTCTGGTCTCAAAGTCACATAGGCTGAGGCTTGCATGGCTTACCAGTCGCTTGGAGTAATTGTTCCCATGCGTCTTTGGTTTTCTTCACTCTTCTTTGCTCTGGGTGAGGAAAGACCCATCATTGCTGATATTGCATTCCTCATAGAGTCCAGCTTCTTGGATTATTTGCTCAACATATAGACTGAATAAGTATGGTGAAAGGATACAATTCTGATGCACATCCTTCCTGATTTTAAACCATGCAGTATCCTCTTGTTCTGTTGTGTGCAGCAGGCTACATCATTTGGGCCTGTGGGCTGGAATCTACCAACCTCTAGCTTTAGATATGATGGTAAATATTTAAAATTTAAATTTAAAACCAGTGGTTTAGCTGCTGGGCTTGGTTCTAAAGAGCTACAAACTAAGGAGGATAATTTAAAGGGTACAAAACAAAGCAGAAGCTCTTTTACACAAGGAAATAAGAGTGTTTGAAGTCTAGTCCTGGAAAATTTGGGAGTCAGTATCACCTGATATCAGCTAACTAGGAATTAAAATACATTACTGAACAGTACTGAAGATAACTAAAGACTTCTCCCTGTCACTGCTTAGAAAAAGACCTGTCTTAAGACAGACACATGAAGAGCCAAGCCTTAAACAGACATCTCCAATGTCTGTTATTGGACACAGGATCCAGAGAGGAGCCCTGTGCTGCAGGGGTGCTGATGTAAAGAACTCACTGAGAGGCAAGAGCCAAGCAGAGATCAGAGATGGTGGTCCACTGTTTTTGGGGACTATTAAAAAAACATACTGCCTCAACACATGTACCAAAATAAACATAGCAGCAACTCTGGCCCAACTTTCTATACTTGATAGTGTAAACAAGGCCAGTGTCTAGCAGAGGAGCCCCAGAGCGTGGCTCCTGGAAGATAATGTGGTGAAATCACTTCAAAGAAAACGAGAGGAGGTACAGGACCCACTCCTGGGTAGACTCTAATACCCTCTTAGACCAACTGTCTATCATCAGTAAAAGCGGTTGCTTGCCTGTGCTATGGTGCTAGGACAGACACAAGCAGTGTTAACAGTAGCAATGCAGAAGCTGACGCAAACATAACACAGACAGACATGAAGTCCACTGTAAGTCACACAAAGGATGATTACATATGAAGGAATGGCAGGTACACCAAGGAAAAAACATGGAAGGCGTAAGATGAAGAAACTGCTACCCTCTAGTTCATCAAGAAAAACTTGTGAATGATTTGGAATTTTGGATGATGTCTAAATAAACTGAAGGTGGGGTATTAGGGAAAGGACAACAGCAGACTATCTAAACACAAGACATAGTTTAAGTTAAATGGCAAACTGCATAGATGTCACATTTTTATTCCCAAGAGCACTTAGTGAGTGCTTAGTGATCTGGTACTTTTTAAGTAGCATCTTAATACTTGCAATACCCTCTGAAGTACCAGCATCATCTAATTATCTATCCTCTGCATTTCAACAAGGAACAATGTGAGACTACACTGGGTCTGTCTGATAGGACTCAAGGCAAAGGAGGTTAAGGCAGTCCCTGGGTGGCACAAAAGGTTAAGGGCTCAACTATTAACTGAAAGGTTGGTGGTACACATATGGGAGTCGCTAAGAGTCAGAATTGACAACTCAACAGTAACTGGTAGAGGAAGCTGGATTAGCCCGTCTAGGGTGGTGGTGTGGGAATGGTAAGGCTACAAGGGACTTGCTAAAATGTTTTGCACAAAAAAAGAAGAACTTGGATCTGATATGCTGTGTTATGAAAGCTCTGACAAGGGATGCACAGGAGTCAGAGCCTAGAGCAGAGAAAAAGAGCTTTTGCAGAGAAGCAGGGACCGAGTGAGGATGAGAAGCCCCAGCAGGAGCTGAGTAGCTGAGGAAACCAAACATCAGTTTCTGAAGAAGAGGCACCAAGACAGAGAAATCCAGGCTCTGCATGTGACTGGAGTGTGACATGAAGAGTAGGGATGGAATGGCAAGGAGAGGGGAGGACTACTTTTGCTTTAGCAAAGGAAATGCGGGATTGGCTGCCATTGCAGGGGATGGGGTAATGGGAAGACACAGAACTCTCAAATTTTCAAATGGGAAGAGGGGCAGTGATACACAGAGAGTCTTACTATAAGGACCAGAGCCAGTCCTATGCAAAAGGACTGGTACTCTTCCTGCTCCCTTTTGGGGTGACCCTTTGCCACTCCCTTACTACCTCTAAACCACCTGCCACACCATTACTAAAAACAAGACAGTGTTTCCTACTCTCTAAGTCTCTACTAACAATTCTCTGATGGTATTCTGGGAACTGCGACAGGAGATTTTTTTCCTTTCTGTTGGAGACAGAAGGTCTATTTTTAAGCCCAGCCCCACGGAACTCTAATTTCAAGACCAAAAAAACATTTCTAATGGACTCGTTGTCATAAAGGCTTTGTGCTAGAACAGATAAGACAGCCCGGGCCTACAAACTGAGTACAGACTGCTTCCACCAATTTCAACCTGGGCAGAGGA